AGTAGAGTAGAGTATAGTATAATAAAGTAGAGTATAGTAGAGTATAGTAGAGTATAGTATAGTAGAGTAGAGTACAGTAGAGATGAGTAGAGTAGAGTAGAGTAGAGTAGAGTACAGTAGAGTAAAGTAGAGTAGAGTAAAGTAGAGTAGAGTAGAGTAGAGTAGAGTGAGTAGAGTAGAGTAGAATACAGAAGAGTAGAGAAGAGAAGAGAAGAGCGAGTCTGCTTGGGCGAAGTTCTACTTGATTGCCAAGGCGTCTTAACCTCGGCCCCGAACGTTTGTCCGCGCGGAGAAACGCGGAGTCGTCTAGTTCTCGTCTCCGGGCAAAAGCATCGTCCGATGATCGGCCTATAAGAATCGCTTGTTCGTTCGCACGACCAACCTCGGCACGGGAAAAAGTCCTGGGCAACGCCCAAACACGAATAAAGAGGCGTCGTCGACAGTGAAAAAGGCCAATCCTGCCAGAAGAAGACGAGCCAGTCGACCAACGAGGGCGCTCCAATCGCTACCCAAACGGCTGCTCGTTCACTCCGCGCGGACTCTTACCGTCTTCTTCTACATCTATCTCTCTTTCTCTTTATCTCTTTCTCTCTTTGTCTATCTTACTCCGACTCTCTCTCTCTTCTCTCTTCTCTCTTGCTCACTACCAAGCTCTACGACCTTTATTATGTGCCTTTCCTACGCTGTGTGGACTCGTGTACTGTGCGCACATAGACGCGGTTATAACCGAGAGCAAGGTGGCTATACCTTCTTCTTTTTCTCATCTCTTTCTCTTTCTCTCTCTCTCTCTCTCTCTCTCTCTCTCTTTCTCTCTTTCTCTATCTTTCTCTTGCTCTCTCTTTTCAATGCGGGGAGATCCTGCACGTTGAGAAACGCCGAAGGAGGGAATCTCCTCTCCTCGTAAGCGAGACAAGGAAGAGAGAAGACGACGCGAAACGACGAACGAACGTTTCCGTAGCACGAACCGCGAAGAGAAAAAAAACGAATCAAAAGAAAAGAAAATGTTCGACGGGATAGCGGCACCCAGCCACTTACAGATCCAAACTCTCCTTCTTCGACCAATTAATACCACACCGCCTTTCGATCCCTCGTGACTTCCGAAAACTCTTTTCTCCCATTCTCTCTCTCTCTCTCTCTCTCTTTCTCTCTCTCTCTCTCTCTCTTTCTCTCTCTCTTTCTCATTTCTTCTTTCATTCTTTATTTCTTTTTTTATTGCTGTCCTTTTTATTTCACAAGAACCGACGGTCATCGTGTATATATGAACCTGTAGCAGATAAAAAATTGTAAACGTGTTCTAGATACAGGTACGAGACAAAGCAAAGTAAACGGTCGTTCTTTTTTATCTTTCTTTCTTTCTTTCTTTCTTTCTTTCTTTCCGCTTATTCATAAAAAAGTATTTAGTTTTTTCTCCGTCAACGTGTTTTTTCTCAATCGACGAGTTTTTTCTCGGTCGACAATTTTTTTCGATCGGCGGCGACGGTTTTTTTTCGATTGACACTTTTTTTCGCTTGAATTTTTTTCAAACGACTTTTAAAAAAATTACTACTTCTGCAAATCGTTCAAAGATAAACACTTGAAAAGTGACCTAAAAAAATCTTTTAACTTTTCATTCAATTTAATTACTGTATATATACAGATACGGTGGGACTATATTTCTTTTTTTGCCTTGTTTTTTTTTTTCTTTTATTTTTTTATTTTTTTTTTTTTTTGAAAAAATAAAGGAAACATCAGAAATTGTTTCGTAATAACAAATAAATCAAGTAACGTTTGTTTGTTTTATTAAAAATAGAAAGCTTTATAAAATATTTATTATAAATTATAAAGACATATGTATTATTACTTTTGAAAACAATTTTCACTAGAATTTCAATTCACAAGCAAAAAATACAAAATGACCATTTTAAAAAATGAAGAAATAAATCTGAAAGACGTATTATTTTCTTAACTATTTGCTTAAATGAAGTATAGTCATTGTATATGTAGTTTTAAAGTTTTTAAAGGAAATGTGTAGAACACGATGTGTGAAATCGTGTTGAAGAAATGAAAACACAGTTATTAGTCGAGCATGAAAGAATTAGAAAAGTGTGAGGGGTGGGGTCAACGTTGAGAAATAAAATAACGATGCGGAAGAGAGGATAGGTGTCGTCCGAGGACAATTCAAACAAAACAACGAAATAGCGCGTCGCGTGAATTCGACTATTACGCGTTTCGAGTTCGGTCGACTTGGTTGAAAAATAAAGCGTTGGCAAAAAGCGAGAAACAATCGTGCCACGTTGGCCGTTAGAGAGTCGGGTCCGCTTGAAACTCGCCTCCTGTAACCAACACGCCTACCGATTTTATACCGTTACGCTCGTATTTACGAATGCGCCATGAGCGCTTCGGCTTACCATCACGGTCATTCGATTTTCACGAAATATTCGAAAAATCGCGCGTCCGATCGCTCACAAATATATATACATACATATAGACCTATTTGCACGTACCCGCACGTACATGAACATGGTATGCATATGGTATATGTATTTGAGCCTAGTAATTATGAAAGTAGTTTGACAATAAGTCAAACATTTCGCTTAGGTATTTTATTTTTCACACGTATAATTACATGAAAAAATTATCTTTCAAGAATAAATTTACACGTACTTATTTTCCCTGTATTTGTCCAAATGTCACATTATTTCGCAAGGAAATATATATCTACATGATTTAGATCATTTTCATAATCATTGTGTTAAGTTCATTTTTTTTTTTGCGCGCGTATATCTTGATATATTATTTTCCTCGAATAGATTAGAACATACAAAGAATATAATTACTTAGAAAAAAATTGTTTGATTACTCTATAAAGAGAATAGATAAGACTTGATTTGATATTTTAAAAGTTGTAGCCTTCCGCAAACGAACATTGGCATTCGCGCGTCGTTGATTCGCTCGTTTTACGAGAAATATATCTCGTTATCGTTCCATGCATCAACGTGTCGTCCAGCGATAACACGGAATAGGATAGAAAAGGATGGGGAGGACAGCTTTTCATATCAAGGGTGTTTAATTTCGTTAACATCAATGGTAATTCGTTTAACGACTTTTGTTTCGCGTGACTTACGATCCAATATGGCCGATTGTGATTTAGAGTCTCACCGTTAAACCCTACCAATACTCAGGTTACACTTTTACACATTTATTTTCTACGATGTAGTACATATTTTACCGACCGAACGAACTTACGAGCTCAAAATATATATTTTATCTAATTATTCGGAAATTTGGTCAATCTTTTTATAAGATTATCATTATATTTTCATTGGATGAACGTTACTTGCAAAAGTGAAAGTGATGGTAGCACGCGAGGATAATGAGATTAAATTAGAAAATGTGAATGCACTAAGCAAAAAAACAGATATGCATTTATATGTTATTTTAATATATATTAAAATTTTCATTTAAAATAAAATGTAATAAGATACGAGAATAATATATTTTTGCAGTTTCACTAAAGTTATCTGTGTAGAAAGAAGACCCAATCGTGCCATCTGCGATCTTATTCTTGTACTATCTAGCAAACACTACAAGATTTCTATTCTTATTCTAACGAAAAAACGAAGAAATTAATTGATTAGAAAGAAAAAAGAAAAAAAGATGCATTTTCTAGAATGGAATTTTTCAAAATCTAAGTAACTAAATACTTTCATTATTTTTCTAACATTTCACTTATACATATTGTTAGAATATATAAAGACTAATAGTTGCTAGAAAATAGTTTTAGAATGTTTTACTTTATATACTTCATTTATGTTTTAGGATTAGTGAAACTTCGTGGTCCCAAAAGGTTTATGAGGAAGTAGATGTCCTAAATAGATATGAATTCATTGATCGTCGAATATTTTCTTTTTTTTTCGCAATGTTTTTAAATAAATTTATTATACTTTTACTTCATAATTTTTTTCTTTTATATATATGTATACATATTTATTAGGGGCACCGGAAAATAATATCGTTTCTGTGGATGTCAATATTTGTTTATCATTTATCAGCTCATTGTGTACTTTAAAGCCGTGTTTGAATTTAATGTAAAAAACGAGATTACTTTATGGTCCCTCTAATATATATATATATGCTAATATATATATATATATATATATATTACATATGATAAAAATACTTTTTAATTATTTTTTTACTATATGTATATATATATATACAAGAGATATAAGACTCATCATCGGTCACGCAAATAATTTTTTCATGGGACACCATAAAAAATGAGATTTAATATTCGTGTAATAAACGCATATATATAACACACAAAATTATTGTATTTTTTTTATATGAACTTCGTTTTATGATAATGTAAATAATAATGACAAGGTGTCTCCTTAAGTTGTATATAAAAGTTAGTAATTCTTAAATTATTTCAAGGCTGAGATGATGAAAATATATATCTAAAAAATTACAAACGCAATTTATGGTATTTTCTTTTTCTTTTTTTCTTTGACTTTATAATGCATTATTTAACAAAGCGTACACATTACAAACTAGTATTTTCCATATACAATATAAGATTATAGAACACACACACACATTTATATATGACCTACTTTCTATTAATTTATATACGTGACAAAAGAACTTGTCGTATACACTGATAAAAATCGAACACTTTATAGATTTCATTAATTTTGATATCAACGTTTACAATACCATCGGATACGCCAAGGAAATATTTATTTTAAATATATATAGTACATTGGAAAAAGATTTTTAAATATAATTATTAATGCTTAAATGAAGGATTATACGTATAAGAAGAATTATTTATACATGTATATATAAATATGGATCATATTATATATATACATATAGATATATATATAAAAAAAAAAAATATATATATATATATATATATATATACTTATCATAATAATTGTAATAGGAATAATTAAACTCTAATTATAATAATAATGATGATAATAATAATAATAATAAAAGGTATGACAATGGGAGTATTGTGATAATAATATAATTAGTAATAATTAGTACATCCGATGAATTTGCTACAACTGTAATCATTTAAATCTAATCGATAATAACTTGAATTTTGCCGTAATAACAATATTTCTAGCGAAAGTCATTTCACTATTAAAAATGTACTGATGATAATATCGATACGTTTATATAAGATGATCTCATCCTAATGTTTAGAGTATAAAGGTAGAGCGACCGGTAGCAAATAGATTGTAAACTCTTCCTTTTTTCTTTGCTTAATATCGCACAAATACATACGTTGAATGTAGCAATGTTTAAACATATTTACAAAGCGTTGAAGCGCTTTATACACTTGTATAATAATATTAAAAAAAAGTGTTTTGAGATAAAAAAAAAAAACCTCTTGGTAAAATACCAGGTAATATATAATATACACATATATATATGTTTATATATGTATATTAAAACACCTTTATAATTTCAAGTAAAATGAGATATTATACACGAATCTTTGTCTTAATTATGATCAGGTTAAAGATAATAGTAGCGTGACAATAGATCGCGAATACAATGCATTATTAAAGGTTTTTTGTTTCTTTATGATCATTGATTATGCTACCTAAGTCCTCCTAGATACTCTAAGTCACAAACGCAGGCCATATGCAATTTTTTTGTCGTTTCTTTATTGTTTAGATTTTATCTTCTTTTTCATTACTTTGATGACCTTTCTTGATCTGAAAAATATTTAGTTGCGTTTGGAAAACGTAATGGATCAGGGAAATCCGGAGTACCGTATCTACGTGGATTTAAGCAGTCCCTTATTGCCTGACCAAAGGCATGTCTAACTCCAGGATCTGTTGCTACGGCAACGGCGGCCCCTTCAACTTCCTCGATTCCTGCACGACTAACACCTTCTCGAACTAAACGCTCTACTGATGCCGTTATGGCTGAGTGATTAGGAGTTGGACTGACTAATAATCGTGGCTTTTGTTGTTCGATAAGTTTGCGCCGTTTTGTTGGTAAACTACCTATGTATGCATCACTGAAAGTTGTTACAGCACTATTCGCCATTCCTTGCATCTGTAATTGTCGTCGTTGTCTTACTCCATCGCGTGCAATTATAGGTATCCATTCCTATAATGATCATTTTTAATTATCCAAAATATATAATCTTCATTCTCAATACTGATAAAAAAAGAAAATATCTTATGAAATTATTTGTTTATTTTTAAATTGAATAATTACCGAAGGTAACGACTCATGTCCTGGAAATGTTTCTGGAATATCTTCCCCTTCATCGGGTACAGAAGCTTCATTATTAGACTTTTCTTCCATAGTTTCTGTTTCCATTGGCTGTGACAATAAACGTTTATTAATTATCGTTTCTGTTTATATATGTACCTTTATTATAAAAACAAATGGTTCACCTCGTGTTGCGATTGTTGTTGCTGCGGTTGTTGTGGTTGCGGTTGCGATTGCGATTGCGATTGCTGTTGTTGCTGCTGTGACTGTTCTTGCGTTGAACATGTCGATTCGTGCGATACCGTTGAAGATCCCGACGTTGTTTGTGCAGTATCTTTATATATGAGAAGTGGAAGAATTTCGGAATCCGGTGGTTGTGGAATACGTAATGAGTAAGTGCGGAAGTGAAGAATAAAACTACTTAACATCCATTCCCGAAATGTGGGATTAACGGCATTAACCATACGGAACTAAAAAAATAGCAACGAATTAATATAAATAATCAGATTTCTAGTTCTGTAATAATGTTATTGTAATTTACCATAAAACGGCCTACAACCGACTCTAAACCTGCTTGTCCTCCGCGAAGAGAATATCGAAGCACAGTGCACAATAAACTTCCCATAGTCTTTACGATTATTAATATTTCATATCCGAATCTACTGTCATCAATATCTACAAATATGTAAATATATGTATATATGTATTAATATTAAATATTTTACATATTATATTTGATAAAATTTTATAATAAACTAACTCGGATCGAATAGGAGTCTTAACATTTCCTTGCAATACCGTGACAATATTGATTCGATCGTAGCGCAAAGGTCTACGGTAGAACCACTTCTGCCAGTACTATCCTCCGCCCTTTCTAAAAGTTGCTGGAGATGTGGTCTGTAGTGTAAAATTAAACGTTCCACTACTTGGTCTCGTTCTTCAGATCCAGTTGAATTATTCATTATTACACAACACAAAAATCTCAATGGTACTCGAAGCCTAGCAATTGGTTCTGATCTTCCGAGTCTTAGTCGAACGACATCTTCTACAGTCATGTAACGTGCCTAAAATAATATTACATGTAGTTATTTATAGTTCAATTTTTTTTTTAATCAATATAACTTTTACAGATATTTACAAAAATCAAAGCTAGTTCAGCGAGTAAATTTTCTTCCGTAATATTCTCACGAGATTGTGCATCGTTAATTTCTAATAAATTTGCAAGGGTTACATTTCCACCAACTAAATTAGTACCTCTGTAATACAAAATAATTTTCATATAATTCTTATTTATTTGATAATTTTGTAAAAACAACAAACATACCCCCCATCTCCCACGATTCCTATATGAATGTTTCCATTACCAACCATTTCCATCAAATTTCCGATATTTTCCGCTAAGTCAGGGTCTTAAAAGATATTTTTAATTAGTATTATTATATTACATTTAGTATTAATATTGAAATTGATATGAGATAATATGAAAAAATTTCACCACTATGGCTGCTGTTAACGTTTATATTAGTTTGTTGTTGTCCGCTTGTGTCTCCTACTATTTGACGTAAGAAATTAATTATAGGATTAGGTGTAGTATTTTGGCTAGAAGTCGGCGAAGCTGTGCTGGTAGAACTAGCAGTACTACTTGCTGTAGACGTACTTGCTGTAAAATGTAATAAACTAATGTATATTCCATCGGTTTAGGTACTTAATATATATTCTACCTGTTTGTGCCTGAGGTTGAGTTTCTTGTGCAGGCGTTTGACTGGCTCTGGTAGATTGTGAATTGACTGTAACATTTGGTGTACTAGTCGGTGTACGACGTACATGATGTGAATTGCAGGGAAGAAATGGATCAAATTCGAGTCCTTGACCCATGCTCATTCCAACACCAAGCGGATGTGCATGATGTTGATGGAAAACATGAGGACGTGAAGTACTACGAGTTTGAGTTGCGGTAGTTGGATGAGTTCCTACATTACTTCTGTTATAAAATTCATTATTTAATAATCACCGAGTTACGACATATTCGTTGAATGAAACTAAACAATGAATACTCTACGATCATATTATGCAATTACGTTGACATTACCGAGCTTGCGTGCTCTGTGCAGCATTAGTAGATGTACTATCCATTGTTGCAGCAACCGTTTGCTGGGTTCCTCCTGCAGTAGTAGCTGTGGTGCGTGTTGTTAATGGAACCGTAGCGATACCACCTTGCGCCATATGACCAGCAACTGCTTGCATTAAATTGCGTAGAAAATCTGGCGTGGGAGCAGAACCCCAAGGAAATATGCCAGCAGTATTTCCACTGCTTCTTCCTATCAATGGTATTAACTTTAGACATGTTATATATTTTTTTTATATTTTATATATATACATCAAAGCGCTTAGTAATTTTCTAGAAAGTATTTTTAAAATATACGTGCCAGCGTTATTATTATTATTGTTTTCACCAGATTGATTTGGTTCGTTTCCTGAAGAAGCTTCCATATTACTATCAGGACTGACTTCCATCAATACTTCAACGTTGTTTGACAAATCAAACACTGTCATGAAAGAATAGCTTTAATATTCTTATTCGATACATACATCTTGTATAAAATATCATCGAACAAATGTAATTACCAAATTGCGATTGCGGTGGTTCTTGCGGTCGCTGTTGTTCCGATGGTTGAGAAGGTGGTGTACTACTAGATTCTTGTGGCTGATTATTATCCTCTGTTGTAACTTCGATCGATCCCGAAGCTACAACAATATCTGACGGTTGTTGGGCGGCATTTGTAGATTCAGTGGTTTCTTCATTACCGTTATTATTGTTTGCATTGCGACCATGTAAACTAATATGAGCCTAATGGACAAATTATATAAAATATAATTATGTGCATTTTATATCTCTTCCATGATCTATGCTCACCTCTACCTGGATCGGTACACCAGCTTGCAGAATAGCAGAATGTTGTATGATAATAGGTCGACATCGTAAATTTCTAGGTGGTTGCTGTCTCATATCAACAATTATGTCACTTAAAGCATGGCAGGAATGAGACAAGTAATGTAAACATTCACTAACACCATCCACCATTCTTTGAGTTTCTTCAACGACTTCTGGCGTTCCAGGCTAATTAGTAATTTTATAATGTTAGATATATGAATATTAGTGATTATTAGGAATTTATTTTTATATTCACTTACTCCTGGAGGCAATGATGGATCAGCCAACATAAGTACACGGTAGCGTTCGATGTATGGTCTTAAACGATCTTGAGTACTCAATAATCTGTCTAATAAGTATCCCATTTGTGGAGGTCGTGGCAATCTAATAAATAAATAAATGTATTATTATTTCAATGTATAGCAAACAAAACAGAAGAAAAATATATCTTACTGAGTAGGTGGTCGTCTGCTATTTTGTCCACTTGCATTTGATGTTCCCTGTTGCTCACTTTGTGATTGTGCAGACGACTCCATTTCAGCATCTTCTTGCGCCTCATTACTAGTAGTTCTTCCTTCATTCGCATCATCATTGCTTCCTATACACATTTATCAGATATTAACATATTTATGTTAGATTTCTATGATTTATTTACACTTTTACCTCTTAATAAGGTAACATTGCTGGCACCTGATGCAGAGATTGCGACTCCTAATGCAGCTGCTACAGCTTCCGAAAGTCTAGTTCCAGTTGACTGTCGACCTTCTGCGATTCTGAAAATACTTTGCAGAATTCATTGATTTATTACACAAGTATATTTATTAATTATAAAATTAATCCATAAATAATTATTAAATGAACTTACTCTTCCTGGTCTGTTTCTATATCTTGTACTTGTATTTGTTGCGGTAATGGAGATTGATTATTTTCCGATGTACTAGGATGTAGGGGTGCTGAAGGATCGTCAAGACGGTCCATCAATTCATTTGCACGATTGAGCATACGTTTAGCAACTATTAAACGACTATTCGATAGACTGTTACTTAATTGTGGCACTGGTAACCCTAACAGATATAAATAATGCATTATTGCAAAATGTGAAATTCAAAAGCGTGTATAAATATTAGTAATCATTACTAACCATGTCCTTCAACAATTTCAGCTGGTACAGACATAGCACCTAAATACATAGCATTTCCATGCATTTGAGCATGACTGAAACGATAGTGTGGTCTCTGTTGATTTTGCCATCCTTGATTTTGTTGTCCTTGACTTTGCCCACTATCATTGTTTCTTTGCCCAGGTTGAGGAGGTGCACTTTGCACCAAATGTATAACTTTACCATTTACGTCTAAGTGAATGATTCCATTTTATTAGATTAGATCGATTGAATTTATTAGAAAAAAATAAGCACTCATTGAATCTTTACCATAGTCATTTAATTTTTTATCATCTTGAAGAACTCTTCCACAATAAATAAGTCTCTGTGAATCAGCTGGCACAGCTACAGACTCTGCTATATGTTCTTTAAATCTACGAACTGTAATTTGCTGTGGAATGCAAAGAATCATTACAAACATATCTATTTCAATATATTATGCATTTCGAATGTTCTAGAAAAATATCTACATTCGAAATAATTCAAAGGGACTATTAGAATCAATTTAAATCCAATAATTTCTACATGTCATATTTATATTTATATTTATATTTATATTTATATTTATATTTATATTTATATTTATATATATGAATGTATGGTTTCTTATGATAAATATGTATATATATATATACACATATATATGAAGTAACATGGAAGAGAGGTAAAAAAAAAATCAATGAATAGATATAGCTTAGAATATTCTTTTACATAGAGGAAACCTTTGTCCATGATTCACACACATATATACAATTACAACGTTATTACATTACAAATCTAAAAATACATATGTATCCTTTGTGTGTTCATCAGAATAATAAATTAAGAAAAAAATAATCGTTGATTATAATATTTATATTCACAAAAATAAATTACATAATTTTTTTTTTCTTTTTTTTTCTTTTCTTTTATTTTAATTAAGCTTCTTAGATAGCCATAAATCAATAATTCCCTATACAGGATAATTTTAAATCAATAAAATTAATATTAGAGAGGATTCGTAAAAGTAAGAGGACGAACGATCGAAGCATTAAAAAGAACAACGAGTAGAAGTGTGTATACGATGGTATAAAAATGTTATAGATAATAAACTTACGTCGTCTTCCAAAGAGAATGCATGATTCTGCGAATCTAAAGTCTTCACCGTAAGGTTGATCATGATTGATCACAATGCGGATCAAAACGCTCCTTCGATACTAAAATAATGAAATTTGATATATAACGACGTTGTATCGCGAAACGTTTAGATGTTAGTTAATCGAATAATAATGTAATATGAATAAAAATCTAATCTCACGATGCAGAGGATTGATGCAGGTGTACTAGGTGAGAAAATGATTTCACAAGAATTATCAACGATGTCGGCTAGGTGCTACAAATAATATCTTATTTCAGAAAATTTATCGCAGTTAATTAAGCAAATAAATGAATCCGTTAAATAATGATGATAATAACACGTTTAAAATCAGTTCACTCCGTTTTTCGATCGCATAGTTCGACTTATTTAAATGATATTTTTGGGTGTCGATATTTCACAGTAACGGGCAACACGACACACGTTATTCTACCCAGAATTCTCTTTACTATCGACACAAGGTGCGCAGCCAACATAAACGAGCTAGTAATCCCTATGCCGAAGTCGGCCTCTCTTTTTTCTTCTTTCTTTTTTATTTTTCCCTTCTTTCTTAAACATTAAAAAGTAGCGTCATCTACGTCGCCAGAATTCCGATTGGTATTGCGAGAGAGAGAGAGAGAGAGAGAGAGAGAGAGAGAGAGAGAAAGAGGGAGAGAGAGAATTAAAAGCAATACGTGATTCATCGGATATGAGAACCACTGATAACAAGCGTAGTAGTTTCCTCGTTTTACCACGAGATGGCTCGACTTGTTCGTGCCGCTTCATGTCTTGCTCAATTTAAATCCCACGTGAGACAGCTCACTTTTCGAGGTTCATTTAAATTCCATTGCGCGACGTAGATCGCGAGAGACGTGCGTAGATCAGCTGATTCGAAAACAGAGCGTGTATTAACGTCGATAAAAGGACGTTAAGACTCCAACTAAAGCCTGTGCAATTAGGAAAAGTACTGCACTGACGAATAACATGAAGGATTGCGTATATACCAGTAGCATGTATATACAATACCAACGTTCCTAGCACGTCTAACGCATAATTATGCGTTGCACGAGATTTTAACGGTTGGTTGGTTACTTGCTTAGATTCTTCGGTTAATGCTTATTTGTCGTAGTTGACGAATATAGGAATAATAACGTGGCGAGTACGCAGATCGCGATAAGAGCTGTAGTAAATACCATTCCGACTATGCCTCCTCGCCTTCTCTATAAATGCTAATTAAGTATAATCTAACAACTCTTAAGTCTCTCGATCGAGCACGTACTAAATTACATTAATTGACGTTCTACGACGAATTACAAATTATCGCATTATCGTAGAAACGATTTGCAACTGCGGGGAAATTCGTTGTAATAGAAATAAAATAATAGTAGAGTATATAGTTATAGTAGTTTGTCAATCATTTTCCAGAGAAAGAAGAAGAAGAAGAGGAACAAAAACGAATCTCCAAGTCTTAAATCGACTACCGGTTTGATCGTAATCTTATCTCTTAAAGATTCCGCGATAATTAGAAATATTTTTCATTTATTTTCCAGAAAGTAACGCCAGGAAGAAAAGAAAAGTAATGAGAGAGACGTTAGAGAATTTCCTGGATAGTTGGCGCCAACTGTGACCTCCTTTAATGAGGCGTGCTCGAGGAAGGCACGCGTTTAACTGGCACAATGTTTCTTGCGGAGAGCTCTACTCACGCTACTTGCTTGCTGGCTGCTCCCCTCTCGTAAATTATTCCGCGAGGGATCAAGGCCCCGCGAGTAACAATGAACTTTTGGTGCCCTCTCATAATGTCGCGTCATCGCGAACAAATTCAATGTCATCAAATTGCTTATGTATCACATTCTGTGTTTGTTCGTAAGTATACGTGTACCCTAAGAATACGCCTAAGAATACGTTCTTTTCATTTTTTTTATCTATCTCTCTCGTACGTTTTAGAAATAGAAAAAATAAAAAGTAAGTAAAAGGAAAAAGCGCGAGATACATGAATTTTTGATGAAAGAATGCAACGTGGCAAAATGCATCTATAGGGTGCATGCCTTAACGATAACAACCGATCTCGAGACGCTTCATCGATATTTTGCGTGAGATTCATACTGCAAATGAAAAAAAAGCGAAAAAAGCGAAAAAAAAGAGACAGAGAAGAAGACTCCCGGCGATCGCATTATTCAGATTAGGGCATCGACAGAGGAACGGCTGCATGGATATGTGAGAAGAAACATGTCCTCTCTTTCTTTCTCTCACATGGACGCAGTGTGAGAGACGTGTGTAGACATTTGTATCGGTAGAAGATAATGCATCTGATCGTGCACAAGCGAAGAATGTTAATGGTGGTTCGGTTTTGTATGCAGGAAGTGACGGCCGTCTCTTGTGTCGTGTAGCGGGGCCTGGCGCCCGGTGTCCGCTCGGAAAAAAGCCCCCAACGTAAATGCGATAAAGAGAGAAAGAAAGAGAAGAAAAGGGGGAGGGAGGAATATGAAAAATTGACGGATTCACCCATAGCCGCGAACCGAGGAGAGCGGCAGCAAGTTGCTCTTTTAAATCTCATCGTAAACACGCGTTCGCAGTGGCTCTCATATCCATTGATATCGAACGATTTTATTTTAAGGGATGTTTTTATCGAAATTTTTACAAATATTTCTTCGTCGATAATATTATTTCTATTTGAGAGAAAAAAAAAATGGAATAAACAAAAATAGAAGTAAATTTTCATTTGGCTTGATTTAATTAAAAGCATTACTTTTCCTCGATTATCGGGTAAAAGTTTGACAAATCGAAGCGTATGATACTGTAAATGATGGTAAATAATAAAAAATATTGATAAAAAATATGACGAAGAATGAAGAAGGTAAGAACACGTGCGTCGTTAAGTGGCAAGATTCTGGCAGGTAGCTCTGGAACAAATATGGCATATATGTGTATTCTAATTCGCTACCGGTCTTTTCGACTCCTCCTGTTAATCGTTTCTTCTCTGTTCAGAGACTCCCCCGTAAGCCCTCGGGTCTCGTCCTGTTCCTTGTCTTCTCCTCCTCGTCATCGTCGTATTTCTTGAACGACAAGAAAAGGAGAAGTTTGCGTGCGTGTCTTGCTAACTATACAAAACGTAGAAAGATATCCAGGAGTAAGTAGCAACAGGCTGAGGAAGAAACGATATAACCGCATCAAAAAGAGGAGGAGGAAGAGAAGCAAGAGGAAGAAGACGAGCAACGAGCGAAGAAGAGGACGAGGATGATGATGGTGGTGTTCACGTGTCGTTGTTGTGGTGGTGGTGTTGCCACTGCTGTTGAGAATCCCGTGTCTCGGTGAAGGTAACTGTGTGTGCGTTGGCGCCAGGTCGCATTCTCGCATTCGTTAACCAACACACATCACAGCCGTTAAACTTCTCCCTTCTCTTTTCTCTCCGCTCCGTGCTTGCGATCAAATAGCTCGTGCCTTGTTTCTCTCGACGGTGCTTCTTCTTATTCTCTTTTTCTTGTTTTTCTCCTCCTCTCTTTCTCTTTTTATATACCATCCTCCTATGTAGAGATATTAAGAGCGGTCACGGCTCCCGAATTTGCCAAGCGCGGGACGACGGGATCCCGATTTGTCCTCGTCTCGTTTGCTAACCGCAGGTACGTGGCGAAACGACCGGTTTCTTCCTACGGTCCGGTGCATCGGTCCATGCATCGATGTTTCGGCATGCAAAGTGTCCTCCCCCCCCCCTCTTCCCCACCCTCGCCAAAGCGACACAGACAGAGAGACGGGATCGCTTTTGGAAATGATCGAACCGAAGGGTGGATATAAGATCCCTTTAAGGATAAACATTTTGTCATCAAAACAACAGGACGCGAACTGTGTCACGACTTTATTATTATGTACCTACGAACTTTATTTCAGTATCATCCTCTCATTAGCTATTCTTCTATTTATTTACTCGACCAAGCAAACTTACATTCAAACGTTTTCTTCTAACAGCGTAATATCGCGACGGTATATCAAATGACCGGTTTTTCAATTTGCAATTAAAAAATTTCCTATTAATTCCATTAATTCTATTTTATTTATTATTTAAGCCAGTATACCAAAATTGATTCTAATCTACTCACTAATTGTAAGTTTAAAATGAAATAACAACAAAAGAGATGATAATCATTTTCAGACGATTCAATATAAAGTAGCGAAGAGACGAGTAAAATTCAGCTGATGTCAGTTAGCGAAAAATCGTTTTATCTCGAACGATCGTGCATAAGTCGAGTCGTTGAGACATGACGCGTCACCGAGTCCGACACCTACCTAAATCTACGACGGTCGCGCTCTTAATAGCTACATCCGTCCGTCGTGACGCGACTGACATCCGTAAAGATCGGAGTAGTAGCATCGCGACGAAGATGACGACGACGACGACGACGACGACGACGACGACGACGACGACGACGACGACGAAGAAGAAGAAGAAGAACCGATCCCGGCATTCCAAAGGAGCTCACGTCGGTTCGTCCACCTCGAAATCCGTTCGCGCCCTCTCCTCGTTTTTCATTCGTTCTGAGTTGACGCCTCGAAAAAATATACCAGCAGCTTAAGATTCTAAAGAAGAAATCACTTTTTTTTTCTTCTTTCTTTCTTCTTTCTTTCTTTACTTTTTTTCTTTCTATTTCGTTTTTTTACATTCGAATTAGAAGGCATTCAGTAGGTAAGAATTCAGGACAGGGACAAGGCAACTTACATGCGATAGAAATGGAGCATCGTACACTTAGCTTCTAAAGAGGGGAAAGGAAGATAACAAGAAAAAGAGAGAGAGAGAAGAGTCACTAATGACTTCCTGGCACCGGCGACGTCTCCCGTCGAACTTTATTTATGGTTTTCAGAACAGCGCATACCGTATGTATGGCGCTTACCTTCAAGCTTTCTCTTTCTCTCTCTTTCTTTCTTTATTAGAATTCAAAAATCTTATAATCAAACTCGACATGCATTTAATTCTCCTATTTATTTTCTTTTGATAATTAGATAAAAAAAAAAAAGATAATTTATGACAATAATTCATTTCACTTCATTGATACGGTAAAATTAAATAGACGAATAAAATTGTGTCCCGCTATTGTCAATTTCAGAAGGTACAAATTCTTCCGTTTACAATTAGATTCGTGACCATATCAAAAGGTCAAGTGTCTTTTAATCGTAAGTAAGAATGTCGATTTGTCTTTTAAATTAATAACAAAACAAAGCCACAACACGCATACGTATGCGCGCTTGATGCTCCAGTTTCTTCCTGGCTCGGAACGCGTTTTTATTTTTGATTAGATTGATATCATCGAAAATTCCACGATTAAGATTTCCTTTATCCAGCTAATAATTGATTCAAATATCGAATAAGACCTCAAGAAGAGATCCTATAGAATTGATTTTCATTGAAAAAGGAAACAAGTTGAAATGTCGATATATAATGTTAAGATTTTAAAGGAGAGCAACAAAAAAAAAAATAGAAAAAGACACCGGAATGTGTAAAATCGAGAAAGAGAAAGAAAAACATAAAAGTTAGAAGAAATTATCTGGTATTTTCTTTACCGAGTAGTCAGCCGAAGCAAAGGTCAAAAGTTAAGCAACGCTCTTGTTATCGGTGCAAACACCACAGTGTTCGCATATGCAACGATGCGATCGATGCCTTTCGCTAGATCGACGAAATTAATTCGAACGGTATAAAGATATGTAAGATCGAAGAAAATGATAAGATACCCGGGGTTTAGATTGAATAGGAGAAAAAAGAAAATCATGAAAAGGTATATATATATATATCTGTTTTATTTTCTTCAAATGGAGATTTCCGACGATAGGATCGATCTCGAGACGTTTCTTGAAGACTCGATTGACGGAAGACGAAGTTTGCGGTTAGGACAACACGGACATCCATCCATCTGTCTATGTCTCTCTCTCTCTCTATCTCTCTCTCTTTCTCTGTTTCTTTTTATTTCTCTTTTTCTCTCTCTTTCTTCGTCTCTTTGTAAGCAGCACGGCTACCGAGTACGCGCTCGAGCCAAGGCGAGAGGAATAGGGTGGGAGAAAGACGGATAAGAGAACGAGACGAGGTCCAACTGAGGAGGACAGAGTAGGCCGTGCTCGTCGTGAAGCAAGAGGTAGAGAGAAAGAGAAAGAGAAAGAGAAAGATAAAAAGAAAGAGATAGGCAGACTGGGTGCTAAGAAAAGAGAGAGAGAGAGAGAGAGAGCACGCATAACATACGGTCCATACGTGTATAGTAAAGAGTCCTGCAAGAAGGAAAAGGAGGAGGAAGCAACGGCACAGCAGAGCAATAGCAGTGTTAGTAGTGTGGTAGTTGAGTAGTGGTAGTTGTAGTAGTAGTAGTAGTAGTAGTAGTAGCAGTAAAGTAGTAATAGCAGCAACAAAAGCACCAGTAGCAGTAGAAGCAGAAGCAGAGAAGCAACGAAGAAGAAGAAGGAGAAGAAGAAGAAGGAGAAGAAGAAGAAGAAGAAGAAGGAGAAGCCCGAGAGCGTTACCTCCCGGAGGCGCGGCGCCGACGACGTTTGCGACTATAAGTAAGTCTCGCGCGTCGCGTCGCGGCTTAATGCCATAGCCGCGTCCGTGGCGCCAAGAGGAGGGCCCCCTGGCGACGATAAGCCTTCTTGCTTGCCCGTCGCGAACACACAGAGAAAAAAAGCCATAGAAAGAAAGAGAGAAAGAGAGAGAGGAAAAGAGAGAGAGAGAGGGAGACAACGGGCAGCTTTCACCCGCGTTTTTGAGCAGAGCGTTATATACCCCGCGCAAGATGTGGATCGCGACAGTGTAGATAATAGCGTGGACTAGCGCCGGTGATGCACGTCTGGCTTTAGTCCAGTTAACAATCCAGTGTATTCCGCGACAGTCGGTGTGCTTGTCACTTTGATCCCATACTCCTGCTTTTTTTTTTGTCTCCATCTTATTTTTTTATTTCTCGGTGTCCAAATTATTCATCGGTGATTATATTCTTGTGTATAATATTTGTCGATATTGCTGCTCTCTGTTCTAAGGAAATAACAACAGAGAAAAGAAAAACGAAAGACAGCGTATTTGAAGGAAAGAGATAGAACCCTTTTAGTACATGTCCTTGTCATTAAGTCACACTTTTACAATCGGACCTGAAACTCCGTACGAAGAGGGAGGTTTACGAGCGTTGACCAGCTCGACGACGCACCCTCTGTTAAACCGCGAGAAAGTCTTATTTGGGATTGTTAGAAGAAGAGGAAGAAGAAGAAGAAGAGGAGGATAAAACAGAAGTGTTTAGAGGTAGTCGTGTCGTCGTTCTTGTTCCTTGTCAATAAACCCTTTTTCTTTTTCTCTCCTCCTTTCCTTTCCTTTCCCTCCTTCCTTTTTTCCTTCCTTTCCTCCTTCCTTCCTTTCTTCCTTCCTTCCTTCCTTCCTTCCTTCCTTCCTTCCTTCCTTCCTCCCTTCCTTCCTCCCTTCCTTCCTTCCTTCCTTCCTTCCTTCCTTCCTTCCTTCCTTCCTTCCTTCCTTCCTTCCTTCTTTCCTTCCTTCCTTCCTTCAGTCCTTCCTTCCTTCCCTCTCGCACTTGGTTTCGCGACAGTTCAACAAAATTGTTTGTACTGCAAGTATCTCTATCGTGCGTGCCTCGTCATCGAGTGTTCTGTGAATAAAATCGAGATATACGTGAAGGTATATCATCATGTCGGGGTTACTTTACACGCTTCTCGGACTCGCGGCGAGTACGAGTCTTCACTGTGCCGTGAGGCGCGAAATAAGTCCATGCACCTGCCGACAAGAGGAGTTCTCTAATCCCGTTATCAATCCGGCTCAGACCACGGGCAATGCCGGCAACAATGCACCTCCAGCGCCTCCTCCTCCTCATCACGGGGGACACGGGGAACGCATCGAGGTCGCCTGCGAACGTATGGACTCCTTCGAGCAACTAGCTGATGCCCTTAGAGGGAAGTTTACTCCTGAACAACAAATCACCCTTAAAGTTTCTCATTCCAATCTCAGGGATATATCGTTACACGATTTTAAACAGCTCAGGATGTCAATCACCAAGCTCGAACTAAATCACGATCATCTCGGGTGAGTTATAAATTTCCTTTTTGTATTTTTAATAGATATATAACTTCATTAAGAGCAAAGTTAGAAACTTTATCAAATTTATTTCAATTGGAATATGAAAATAACCTTCTCTATGTAATTGTTGTACCTATTGTATGTATTATATTAGAAACAAAGACTTATTCGAAATATTATTCGTTATATTATAGCTCGGGAAATTGATCGATTAAACGATATCATTTGAAAATAATTATATGATTAACTAATTCAGTATATCATGACCTCAACTCGTGCTATCTCTCTTATCGTTTTCTTGGATCGTATGTAAACCGATGGTGAGAAATGTTTTTCACCATCTCTTCTAACCGATCGAAATCTGATCACTCCCCTATCCGTGCGTTCATATGTACTTAACTATATCGCCCCAACTGTTTTCCCTCCCTCCCCCATCTCTCGTTCCAGCTATCTATCACGCGTTTGACGTTTTACAAATGCGATATTATCATTCTCGTAATTTCGACCTAACATTTGTCTTCGGCTACGATGTTCAGCCAAATACGATAATAAAAACAATAACATTAGAGTTTCTAAATTATTTAACGACTGGGAATTCACGCGTATTCACAAATATGACACGCACATTGATACCCCAGGATTCAATTATCGTTGCGAACATTGAGCAAAAATTTTCCTATAAAACTAAAACACATTATTCTCTGTGAGTAAGTTCTAATTCATAAATAAAAGGGAAAAAAAAGAAAAAATAGATTAGACGTTTATCTGCAGTTTTTAAAAGAAACACGCTGTAGTGATGGTATCCAGGAATTTTCTCATTTCTTAGAAAAATATGATTCTTCTAATTTTTATCCCGAACAAGACAAAGAACGTCTACGTGTACACCGGTCTTCCTTGATTATCCTGCCGTGCATACCACGAGAAACGAAGGAAAATGTGAGTCCTTGAAATGCGGACGATCTTCGAATGCGAAAAGGCGCGTTCTCACGAGCTAAGAAACATAGAGAAACACGAACGTAAGAATGGAGTCTTATAATCGTTGACCTTTTCGAAAGAGTTATCTCGGAAAGCCCTGCGTTTATCATCTTGCAATAATTAAATAATGAAACGGTCCGCGAGCTAACCAGTTAAGTGAATAATCCTATGATAGTGATCATACACCTTCCCCCTCCCTCCCCCCTCATCACCACCCATTTCACAACAACCTATCTAAACACGTACGTATTTGTCCTGGGATTTTTTGACATCCGATTAAAAGCAATTCATTTTAATTTCAATTATTTCTCGAGCCGGAGATGCTTGTGATAATTGCAAATTCATGTCATACGTTTTCCCTAGATAATTAAATTGAAGCTTAAACTCGCCCAATCTTTAATCCTTTTGTTTCAAATACAATACAATTTTTTGTATAATCAAACAATTAAATAAGAATACGATAAGGTGGATAAATTTCGAATAAAAATGTTTTGAAAGTGACAGATTACGTTTGCATATTGTTCATTGATTCGAATAGGCCACGTGTTTCTCAGGACAAGCTCGCGTGTGTGAGAATGAATACGTGCGTGTTTTAAGCGCAAGAAGGAAGATAACGCGTTATCGAAAGGAGATGCCTTTCCAGCTTGTCCTAAAAGAAAGTTTCGATTTTGCTTATCGCTAGCTTATCTTTCGAAGGATTAATATTTGAAAGTTGAGGGAAAAAAAAAGTTGAATTTATCAACACGAACTATTATATTATTTTGAAGGCTCGTTGAGGGTAACGTTTTTGCTGGCTTGGAACGGACACAATATTTAAGTCTTGCTGATAACGATGTCCCAGCGATACCAAGACACATTTTATCGCATCTTTCGTTACTGAGGACTCTGGATCTAAGCAGAAATCACATAAGTCGTATCGATCTTGATGATTTTAAGGTAAGTTATAATAATGTAATTAATAATCTGTTTAGATTTCTATCTATCGATTATTATTTATAACACGCTGGAGAATATAATGGGTATTTTACTTGTAATGCATGAGAAATGCACCGTAGGAAGAAAAAGAAAGATTACACGAAGTTTGTTTTTCAAAGAACTTGACGGATTATTTGTATATATGCATATGTAGTCGTATATATGTATGTACCTATAACGTATGCTTCGCACGCACACGTGACGATTCACGTGCGTCGAATTACCGCGACAATGTTAAAGTTGCAATTGATGATTCGCGATTCTAAGCGAGTAGAATCGTTTATAAACGAGTGCCTCGTGCCTCAAATGCACGTTTCTTTTTCTTTACGTATTGTATTAAAGAGTTGTTGTTGCAATAAGACAACTCAAATGATTCGACATGCACTTGACTACGATGCTTTTCTTTTTTGCGGAATAATCTTTAATCTATCAATCTTATATTTGATCTAGTCTTTCGTTATTTAAAGATTTAATAAAAAGATAAAACAAGAATAAGGTTTTCGCATTAAATGATAATCGTGAAATTGGATTTTTGCAACATTTTTTACGACATAGTATAATGAAATTTGAACACCAAAACCTATCGACAATTTATATACACCTATTTTTATTTGTAACCGGTCTTTAACAACAGTAATATATTTCTTACAATTGAATGCAAATGATTATCAATTTGATACTGGCTTAAGTAATAATAAAATAAATGTTCATTCGATCGGTCGTGTGGTTACGTTTAATGTTAATAAATTTATCTTTATACGTATGTCTTAAATTATTTATTATTTTAAAGAATGTTTCTCGGCGTACATATCAAAATCTTTTCGGTTGTTCTTATTGCAGTATAATCCGACGTTGCAGCATCTGTCGATGGCAGGAAATGCCATCTCCGAGATGGTGCCAGGTTCCTTACCACCGTTGGTGAAGCATCTTCACGTAGGCCGAAACCGGCTTCACACTTTGAACCGCACTTTACGGTAAGAGAAATATATTCATCTTCATTTGATTAGAATAATCATTTCTTTTTTTCAAAAAGAACCAGTAATAATTAGACAGATAATAATAGATCCATCGCGAACAATTTTCACGTTTTACTCTCACGATACAATGATATTTACTATTCTGATAGTACCATTTATCTAATTGGCTCTATTCATCATCGACTATGTTACGAACGAACTCTTTGATCGACTAGAACGATTAAGACGAGGATATGCGCAAGAGAAGGATACAATTTAGATCGCTAAGATTGATCACATGTATTAACTTCTTATCGATTAACCCTTTAACGCGCGCGCACTTCTTTCAAAAGACAAAAACTATGCATTAAAATTCAATATTTTTGGCATACGAAATGCTAACAAGGACAAATGATTAACAATTTGGTTAAATTATGCAAATAGTAAAACAATAATATATCTTTTTTTATATATATATAATTAAAATATAATACATTATAGAGAGTAATATAAAACGTGGAGCTGTTTGAATGAACTCTAGTGCGCGTGGTATGGGGTTATGCGTTATAAAAAAAAAACCAACCTTTTGTCTTTTTTCAATAGAGGCATAGATTTTAAAAATGTGTTTCACTTTCCCTCGCGACAGATACTCACACATCTATACAGAGCGACAGAGATAAAAAGAGAAAGAGAGAGAGAGAAAGTAAGGAAATAAAAAAAAAAGAAATGAAATAAGTCTTTCCGTTTCTTAGTGATCTGAATCAACTGGAATGGTTGCTCATAAATTCGAACGAGCTCACGTCGTTGGACAGCGAATTACCGTCCTCGGGGCACAATTTAAAAATGCTATACGCCGTGGACAATAAGCTGACTCATCTGCCGATGGAGTTTCGATATCTTCACCGTTTGGAATCTCTCTTCCTTCAGCACAATAAGATACGTACATTAAGCGGGGCTCTACAAAAGGCACGACGTCTCAAGTTTCTCGAGCTTTCCTACAATGATTTGCAAGAGGTAAATTAACGATAGTACACATATATAATGTATTCGCTTTTTCTTCCTTTTTTTTATTTTTTTCTTGCATGTGTTTTTGTCAAAAATCAATCACGACTAACATCTTTATTTTTTGGGAGAGAGGAAATCATTATTTATAATATAGAAAAAAGATAAATGTAACAATTTATTGTCAAAATACTGATAAAAAATATTTTAAAATACTGTGACCCGATAAATAGCAAGCTATAAGATAAAAAAAAAAAGATTGCACAGTTTGTTTTATTAGTTAGAAGTGTGTAGAAGAGAACCCCGAGAGCATCATATCGAGCACGCGCGGATACATGTAAGAATTCGTACTCGTGTGAAGCGTGTCTTACATACATATATTTCATTCTCTCTGTCTCTTTCTGTTCCACGGGGAGGAGCCGCAAACAGCATCTCTCTTCTTCTGCATCGGTATAAGCAAGGGACTCGCGCGGAGGCGTCTCTCTAGAGCGTGCCGTGCATTAAGTCAATTACCGCAACGTAACATAATTATTATGCCGAGTAGTTCCGTCGCGCAGATTAAAGCTTCATTCGAGCGGACGTTTATCGGATAAATTCTTTCTCAGCCCCCAACTACGAGAGATCGGCTTATCTGTAGAAAGCGATTCTTAAGGGGCTTCGATCTCGACGTTTACGATTATTTATCATGACGCAAGCTTATATGATGTTCTTCTATTTTTCTTACTTTTTTTCTCTCTTTTTTTTCTTTTATTCTTTCTTTTTTCTTTCCTTTTTTATTTTTATGGGAGAGGTTTAAGCAAGAAGAAACTACGAAAGCCATGCACATACTTACTTGTTAGATGCGTCCATTATCTAGGGAGAAAACGTTCATTTTTCTCTCTCTCTCTTCAAATCGTCGCGACACGTCGATCATTGTCGATCGTATTTACGTTACTCATTAGGCGTAACAATTAATTCGTTGCATCAAAATCACCAATCTTTTTTTCGCCGAGAAATTCGACAATTGCCTGAAAGATGAACCAAAATCATCGAAAATAATGAAGACTATTTCGCGAAGAGTAACAGATTACTTTATAAATAAATACTAAATTTTGTTAATAATTCTCAATAAATCGAATTAATTGCTATGTACACCCAATATTTACATTTAGTTACGTTACGTTATGTTACGTTACTTACTTACTTACTTACTTATTTACTTACTCTCGCGTGTTTTTCCGCGTGCAAATGCCGAGTTCACGAGAGAGAAGTTTATCATCGTTTTAACGTCGTTTCAAATGGAGCGAGACTTTGACGACGGTCATTGAGTTCTTTCAACGATTCATTGACTCTTTTTATGTTTTTCTTCTTCTTTTCTTTTTTTTTTTCGTTCTTTCTTTCTTATTCTTTACATTAGACATTGTACTATTTAAGAAAATGACTTTTTTGGGATGATTGTTAATGTAGAATTAGTTTTCAAAAAGAGCTCTTTATTAAGTTCGTAGAAAAGAGTTTGAATGTTTTCCTTTCAGTTGAAGGAAGAGGACTTCGTGGAAGTTGAGATGCTGGAAGACCTCGAACTTGGACATAACTCTTTGAAATCTCTTGGTGGTAATAACGAAGATGGAAGTGGGGCCAATAGTGCCCTTTACCCTCTAAGGTCTCTCAAATGCCTCAATTTAACACACAACGAGCTACGAGAGTTCTCATTTGCTTCGTTACGCGGTTTGCGTGAGCTACGATTACTCGATCTTTCTAACAATAGAATAGCTCGGTTACGTAGAGGAAGAACACCATCGGAGGTAAGCAACATTTCTTTATAGCAATTACATTTTTTTTATTTTAAAAATTACACACTGCATATTTTAAATATAGAATATAATTTTTAAATTACTAATAGAAATTTGTGAACAAATTGCAATTGTAAATTACTATACATACATATGGTATATAACCCTATAGTTTATAATAATACCAACATTTATGAATTACTATATACTTTATCATTCTCTTATGATGTTCTAAAATTAAAACAAAAATGAATGAAAAAGATCGATTGGATTTTTGTAGAATTTAGTCGAAGAGGAAGGTGATGAGATAGCAGGTGGTAATATTCAGGACATGCGACTACAACACAACGAGCTTAGAAATTTAGAAGGTTCTCTATTCGTCGGTATGAAGGAACTTCAAAAACTCAATTTCAGTCATAATGCGCTCGGTCCAAGGATATCACTTCGTGATCTTCGTGGACTCGATCGTCTTCGAATTCTTGATTTATCTCATAACGAACTTTCCAATCTCGAGGATACTTCTGAGGTAAGTAAGAAAATAAACACATCATTTTGTTTCTGTTCTTTCTTTCTTTCTTTTCTTTTTGATTGGAAATTTAAACGAATTCTGTGATATAATCAGACGTGGTTGCCTGCCTTGGAAGAATTAAACGCTTCGCATAATCGTTTGATTACGCTCTCTGGTCGAGATTTCCGCGGTTTTCCTGTACTCTGCTGCGCAGACGTCAGTGCGAATCAGATACGAACACTAATGCCGGAATTGGTTGCAAATACGCGTTGCACGATTCACGGTGTCCCAGATGTTCTACGTATATACCTTCAAGGTGAGTCATCTTCCATTATTCTATTATTTTATTTTATTTGAACTAACAAGATATAGATCATAAGAATTTTCTTTTTTTTTTTTAACCGAGACACTTAAACATTGATTTAATAAAAAAATATCATTCAAAAAATCATGATCTTAGTTCAATTGACTTTTCACCCTTACAATGATTAGATCAGTCGACACGCATTTACTGAATGGGCACCAGTATGTAATTAATAAACACGTCGTTTAGACGAATGAAGAAAGAAAGATGAAGAAGAAGTATGGGAAAAAAAGAGAAAGAGAGAGAGCGAGGACAAGTGGCGGTAGAAAATAAATTATTCCCTGATAGCAGCGTGATTCTGTTTGGCGCCCGAGCGAGGCGTACATACATTATTTGTTACAAGGAGTTACATTTATCGCGATAACCCTTGCGTTTGTGGCGCCATCTCGCATTATTTATTGTATCGTACGTGGCCGATCATGCTTGTTATTATTGTTAATACAGTGGCTGCTTAGCTGTTATCACGACCCTTTCACGTTATCTCAACTAGTCTCGATATTTTTCGGACTCCTCTCTCTTTCTCTCTCTCTCTCTCTCTCTCTTTTTCTCTTTCTCTTACCCATTTTTTTTTCTTTGTTACTCGTATAAATACTCACCGTTGATTTTTTTTATTGTATCCTAAGAGTTTGCATAATGCAAGATCCAAAACGTGAACGGGAAAAAAATGTAGATATGTATTTAGTTTCTTATAAAAGTCGAATAACATATCGATCTAATCAATGTTTTGAAGTCCATATTGAAGTCCATATTATCAATGAGACGTTAAAAATGATCGAACGACAAGCCATAACTTTGTTGTTAAAGGCTAAACACGATAATGAGTTTAAAATTCTTGGAATTTCTTATTATAGACAATCCGGTACTATGCGACGCGGGTCTGGCCGACCTGACTGTTGCCCTCGAGGTAAATCATGCAAAGGTTTACGGAGTTGCGAACAATTGTGAAACAACGACATCGTCAATAATACTGGAATCAACGTCATCTTTACCACCCTTACCACCGACACTTTTATTGGCAGCTGCTGCGGCAGCCTCGGGGGCTAATGTTTCCTTTGCAGCGACCCTCGAATAATCCTTCTTAATAGTTAGAGGGATTAAACTTGATCGACCTGGAGTAAGTCAATAAAAAGAAGCGAGTACATCGCCTCGAAGGAGTTACTCGGTGTGTTTATTCCGTACCTGGAAAGCACGAAGGAAAAGTATCTCAAGTTCGTTCGGAGCCCAATAGAACGAACCAGAATCATTTCGCCGAAAATATCGTCGAAATAATCTAACATCACATTCTGGTTAGTTAAACTCAATATACACAATGACTGAGGAGAGATTTCGTGTTGCTACCGATATTAGAAACATATCAAATACTAGTACTTGTTAGTTCGTGAAAATTGACGAAATCATGTCCTTTTTTTGGATGACATATGTATGTAATATATAGGTATATACGGTATTAAGATCCCAAGGTAGTTTCATTTTTGATATGCAAACTTACTTTTTTTCAAACGTATGTATCATATATACCATAATATATATATATATATATATATGCATACTACTAACGTGGTCTGTCTAGTTAAACAGAGAGAGAGAATTGCTGCTTCTTGTATACTATTTTAAATGTATATAACCTTGAAGCTTTTTGTTAATCGATAGATAAACGCTTTTGAAAGATGCTCTGTATATGTCGCCAATTATGTTATAATAGAAACAGTCGCAAACCCATGTGCGAGTCTGTTAATTAATTAAATAGAATTTCAACGTCTTAACGAATCATATTTATTTTTCTATACCGTCCGGCAGCTGAATTATTTCAAAATTATCATTTCCATCCTTTTATTTTTCTTTTATTACGAAAAAAAAAAAATATATATATATATATATATATATATAAGCTGAATTAGGAATAATCGTGATTTTATGGAAATGAAAATAAACGATTTGTCATTAGTTTCGGCTTAATGATTGACAATGTTTATTGTATGCAATGTAAATAACTTTCTTAATACATTTACGTTATCGTTTCGTTGTTAATTCTATAAACCTGAAGAAAATATGTGTTACCAACGATGAATACTAACGAACATAAAAAATATATTAACGGGTATATTCTAAATTTGATAGATTTAACAGACGCTTCAACGATTTATTATAATTTACTTCTATTTATTCGGTCAGTATTTATCTTAATTAATGATAAATATTTTGTAAAATAAATTATCGATATGTATATATATTTAAGTCTATAAAAATACTGATCATTTATTTCAAATACTGACAAAATAATAATATTTACTAATATTTTCAATAAAATACAATGATAAACAAATCTTTTACTAATCGGTTTAATACTGACCGGACAAATACTAGCCATTAAAAATATATACATTTTGTTATATTTATTAATAAGTCGTTCATCCTTTAGTAAATTTATCAAGAGAACAGAACAGATATGTAATAAGCAAACAACGATCGAATTATTATATAATTAGATGATATAATAGATTATCGAGGAAAAATCTAAATCGATAATTTCTTCTCGAATCTAATGTGTTATTAAATCGTTAATTAGTATTGTGTTAATAATAATGTACCACGTAAATACGATTTGATGACCTAGAGTGTTGTTTCAAAATTATTTCTTCTAACGAATTAAATACGACGATTCTCTTGGAAACGTTGCTAATTATGCTACTCGTTGGAATATTTCTCTCTCTCTCTCTCTGTATGGAAATATCTTGTTAGTTGTCGTTATTTATCGTTCGAATCGTGTCGCCTGCTAGGTTTTAATCTTATCACATATGGTCAATACCGTGCAAATACGGCTGTCATTCTACGTAATAGCAAATCATCGATTCCCATCGGTCAGACTTCGATCCATAATTAATTTCTTCGATAGCTGAGCTAACGATTGGCCCCATGGGTCAATGGAGTAAATGAAATCTGTTAGTTTAAGCTTTGCACACGATATTATAGGCTGATTGGAAGTGGGCGATCAATTGACCCTCTCGTTAACTAGTGCCAATAGGGATGAATTGTTATAAACGTGTCTCTCTATGCATACATGATACATTGGCCCTTTCCGAGTAACTTGGTCTCTTATATTGTTAACAGATTTTTCTTTTACGTTTATCGATACTTACGAATAATTCTAATGTTGATCTGAACAAAAATCATTCTACAATTTATTATTATTTAAGAACATATTATTTAAAAGAAACATTTAATATAATTGTTCCCCAGCATCCCAATATATCTTGAAATTCATTCCAATTTATTTTTATCTGAAATATTTTTTAGAACAGAAATTGATGAGATTATTAAAAAAAAGAACAAATTTGAGCTATAAATATTTTTCTATGTAGAAGACAGCCGTTAGCGTCGACTGCTAGCTACATTAGCTAGAACTCAAAATCAAGATGTAATTTAATTGTTAAGTATTTTAAATTAGTGAATTTTATGGGTGCTACGCAATATCTAAATATGTAGGAAAAATTGGTGATTTTAGTTTATCGTAGATTTTATTTCAACGAAAAGAATATTAGTAGTATAAATTGTTTTCTTTCATTAGCCATTAGCACACGAATGTTTGTTCATTTTTATAAATAAAATTAGTTAACTTTAGCACCCATAATAACGGATGTAAAACTTGATTTAAATGTAGGTGCCATATATAAATATAGAAAAGACAAAGCAGATACCTGTTAATAACTTAGTCTTTAAGTAATTTATCTTTACTGTGATTTTACAGTTTCTTATTTCAAACATAAATATATATACCTAAGTAAATGAAAATCTAGGAGTAACCAATATTCGTACTACATAATAAATATTGACAAATAAGGAAACACTACTGTAACAATGGTAAATTTCAAATTTTAATAAGAACATACCAATAAGTGTATGGTTGGAGTGCTACAACAAATCCTTTTAGGTGTTTCAATTAATTAATTTTTATTAATAAAGACTTTACTATTCTAATTATTATATATATATATATATATATATATATACCTTCCATAACATGAAATTATACCAGTCAACGGCTTAGCCACGTTGGATTACTAGTTCCCGGCACGATCATTAAAGTCAACTCATGTGGGCATGGTTAGTAACATGGATGGATGACCTGTCCAGAGAAACAAAAGACAAACACTGTGTGCTGTTTACTCCAGAGAGGTAGAAAAAATGCGACCTCTCTAGTAGTATTGAATAAGTGTGAGAAGGTGTTATTATTAGTATAGCAATAGTATTATAATAAATGCATTTAATGTTTCAATTCAATATAATGTATATAATGTATAATTCTAATTTCCGTCCATATAATACTTTAAAAAGACAATCCTTAAAAGACAAAGAAATGCGGTGATGTTTGATACCCTTGATTCTTTATTAAAGTCAACAGTGCCTTTTAGATCGATCAAGTGTTCTTCTTTAATCGTAGGGTGTATTTCCTTGACTATGATAAAAACTAAGTATTAGCTAATTATTTACATAGATATTTAGTTTTAATATCCCAAAGACAGAAACTTAAAATACGTACCTTTCCATAATTTGTCTTCATTAATTAAATTCACATAATATTTATCCTTGGCACATTCATGGTTTCTAAAAAATGATATCTTCACTTCATCATAATTTTCCTTGAGTTCTATGTCGATACCAAAATTTAAATTAGATTTGTAAATATTTATAGCTCTTTTAATGGCATTCCACTCATTGCATTTTTTCTCTTTTCTTTCCTGTATCTCTACATAAATATATATATATACATATAACCATAAACATTCTTATTGTCACATAAATGTATACCTATATAGATTTTATGGAAAGAGATAGATACCTTGTTTCAAATCAACTAACTCTAGAGATAAATCGTCTTTATGTGCCTTGATTTCTGCTACATCTTTTTCTGATATTTCTTCTTGTTTGATAATATTCGTAATCTTTTTATCTACTATCTTCTGCTTTAACATCACATCATCCATTTCTGATTTTAATGTTTCCATTTGATTCTGTAACTCTGATATCTTAACCACATTAGATCTCTTTGTTTGTGCATATTCTGTATAAAAAAAGAAGTAAAATAATATTTATTTTTTCTTCCACACAAATCTTTCATACACCAAAACAAAATTTGTCAATAATTATACAATGGATTTGTACAAACATAATTAAAAAATATTGATTTCCAACTTGTGGACATCATTGCAAACTGCATTTGAAAATGATTAATTATTAATCGAAAGAAAATAGTTTATATATTTATTTTGTAATATTTACCATTTTCATCAGCCGTTACATTTGCATTTTTCAAAACGACGTTTTTTCGAAATTCACAAAAAAATGATGACAAATTGTCCAATATAGTAAAGTCATGATTTTCTAAAACATGAGCCATATCATCGTATTCTTCGAATTCCATCCTGTATGATACACTGCATAATTAAGAAAAAACTAATTAATCATTACCTATAACGAGACAAAATAACTGTCCAAGCGTACACGGCGGCCATTTTTATACGCTCAAACGAATTCAAATTTCCAGGATTGCCAACATATCAAACAGAATACCTCTAACCTCTAAATGTTAAAGTTTCATATGATAAATTTTATATTTATATCTAATCTTAAGTTCTTTTTTCTCTTTTACATTTTTAATATTAACTGTATAAGAATTCATTATCAACGTATTATTTATGTCAATTAGTATCTCATTTGATTAGTTCCTGTTACCAAAAATATTCAAATATTCTTATCCATTAAATTAAAGGGTTACATGGGTTTGGGAATTTAAAAAAAAATTTTTTCTTATCTTTTTAAATTCTACAACTCATCTAGAATATTGTATTCAATTTTGAAGTCGATAGGAGTAGTAGTTTTAMAGATAGAGCYYTGGGAAGTTCCACTCTTTAATGGCTCTTATACCAGAACTCAAATCTTTAAACGCGTTTTTCTCAAAACGCTTTTTCTAAAGTCGGTTGTCAAGATTTCTCNTTCTCGAAAACTATTTAACCGATTTTCATGAAATTTGCTACACGTCTTCGTGATACTATTGACAAGGACTTGGACGAAGGATTTTCGTTTTTTTCATAAAATCGAATTTTAAGAAACMAAAATGTGGTGCAAATTGTAGCGAAATTTGAATGTCTTGCTAAAAACGTTGCCAAAAATCCAAATTTCAATTTTTTTCTTTTTTCTTCGTCCAGTTTCTAGTTTTACGTATTCACTAAAAGACTCTATTTTTTCAACAGAAAAACCCCCACCGTTTATAAGTTCTGCTGTCAACACGAAAACACTTTTTTCCGGTGGGGTCACCGGAAATAACGTCGCAATGGCTGAGTTTAAAATATTTTTCAACCAAAATTTCAGAAAATGTTCTTTAAATATGTATCTTAAATGCTATAAGAAGTTTGAATAAGAATTCCATTTTTTATATAGAAAAAAAAATTGTTGAAAATATGCTATTTTTTCCCAGTGTAAACCCCTTAAGATAATTTTTTTTTTTTAATAACCATTTGACTTCAGCTAAAGATTAAGAGAACAAATTTTTGAATTACAGAACAATCATAAAATATAATTCAATATATAGTAAACAACAGAAAATTACTGAAAAACTTGCAGATAAAGTGTCTAATAGATATTAATACACTATTATAAATATATCAATGTGTCCAAAAACTTAAAAATTATTTTATATAATCATCTCTCGTAATATTATTATAGGATGAAAATTTTGTGTAAAATATGATGACGATTATTATTATTACTAATTAACTTTGTTTAGTATATCAGAAATGCATATCAGTATCTGGATCTGGATCTATTGGTTGCATGTCATTCCAACATGTTACCTCTACCATTTCCAAATTTCCATCTTCTGTTAAAGTTAATAATTGCTTAGTTGAATTATCTTTAACTTTAACCATCATATCAACGTCATTATGCGTAGATGCTAGTTCTGTAGGATGCATAAAATTGTCATTGACATTAATATGCTGTAAAATTCTAACATACATTGGTTGATCCGAAATAGATGTTTCATCTAAAATGGATAATTAATAACAATTTCTATTTTATTATTACAAAAGAATATTCGTTTGGTTTCATTTTATCAGAGATGTTTTCTTACGCTTACCATGTTCAAGAATATTTGGAATGTGTAAACTTTCAGAATTTGCTAGTCGTATTACTGGTATATTTTCATTGGTAATTTGCAATTGTGAATAAGTATGGAATGGTAACATAGGCATACTTTGATGTACACTTTTTTCTATATCAGACATTTTTGTCAGATCTTCATTATTATCTTTTATAGAAACCCCTAATATAAAAAAATGATTATAAATGGATCTCTCTCTCTCTCTCTCTCTCTCTCTCTCTCTCTCTATATATATATATATATATATATATATATATATATATATAAAATACATGACTACTACTACTACTTATGATTAAAAATATACATGTTTAGATCCTTACCTTTTTCTCTTTCATGATCTTTTATAATTTCCATTTCGTTTTGATGCTTATTCACGTCGCATTCATGGTTTATTGCTTGATGATCTCCAGAGAATTGTATACCACATTTATCACAAAATATTCTCTGCTGCTTTATGTAATCTCGTATATGATGAATCATAAACGAGTTGTGATGCGTAGTATACTTACACTTATCGCATTGCATCCAAACATTTTTTTTACCTTTGTTATACTCCATAGTATTAACACATAATGTATCATCTTTTCTTTTAAAACGATTACAAGAATTACGAGTATTAGATCGTGTTATTTGAGGTGGTTGAGAAAGTTTGGGTTTTTCACTGTTATCTAGTAGCTCTCCTTCTTTTAGTGAATATTTTTGCTCTAAAAATCGTAAAACATTTTCTCGGATACTACACATTTCTGTTTCCAATCTATCAAGTGTGTTAATAAGATTAGCACAGCTCCGACAAATCACATCATCTTCTGATATAACAACCATATACCTGAAATATGTACATATTCATTGTAATAAAAATTTGAATTATTAGAAATTGCTGAAATAATTAAATTCTGGAAAACGATACCTTTCGCCAACCATTTCTCCTAATTTTTCAATAACTTTAGATTTAGAACTTTGTGTTTTACATGTTGCTAAAGAATAATAACGTCCTTTTACAATTACATCACAAACAAAACATTGTAAAAATGGTGTTACTTGTGATTCATAATTTGTATTATCGATAACGGAATTACTCGCAGTACTGTTAGAAATATTCTGATCTGCAGTATTAATTACTAACGTTGAACTTACAGTTGCCATTTGTAAAGTTAGATTATTTTGTTAAAACGGATAAAGATTACAAAAAAAATGAACATCGTTCGTTATTATGTGTTTAATAGGTGTGAATTAGGACAAATATTATCCTCTTTTGTTTGTTCTCTTTATTAATGACATTGGGCATGTTTTTAAGAGCTCCAAATTTTTACTCTATGCAGACGACTTAAAAATTTTTAATAGTATTGATAACCCTCGCAGTGCTTACCTTTTACAAGAAGATCTTAATAGACTTCATGTGTGGTGTGTAAATAATAAATTGTCTCTCAACTTGTTTAAATGTCATATTGTTCATTTCAGTTGTAAAAAAAGCACCAAAATTTTTAATTATTTTATTGACTCTTACAAATTATTCTCTATTGACTCTATTAGTGATTTAGGCATTATTTTCTCATCCGATCTTTCCTTTAAATCACATTACGTTAATATTATTTCCCGTAGTATTAGTGCATTGGGACTTATTTATAGTCTTCAGACATTTCAAGTCTACCAATACTTTAAAAATTCTTTATTACCAATTGGTCCGTCCTATTTTTGAGTATGGTAGTGTAATCTGATTTCCTTACAACATATCTTATATTCATGATATTGAGAATATTCAACATAAATTTCTTAGACTTGCTGCTGCTCATAGTAATCAGCCTATGATTACGATGATATTAGCAAATTTATGAATATCCCGACTCTGATCAACAGAAGAATGATATCTGACGCTCTATTTGCTTGTAAGGTTTTTAAAGGGTTTGTTAACAGCTCTGATATCATTCAGCTTTTCTCCTTCAATGTTCCTTCTAAATTTCTAAGGAATTATGACCTATTACACATTAGTACTCATAACACCTCATATGCCTATCATAATTGCACTAATAGAATTTCCCAATCATTTAATCACTTCCAGCAATTCCTTAATCCTTTCAACCAATCCATATCCTCCATTAAATTTTATCTAAACTCACTCTAATTGTATAACTTTGTTTTTCTTTTTTTTTCTCTTTAATCGTTTTTATTGCTACTTACTTTATATTTTTTATTTAAATCTTCATTCATTTTGTAAATATATTTATATAGTCATTTTACTTATTGTTAATTTCTATGTATATATTATCTATTTATTT